AAAAAGCCTCAAAGCTCTGCGACGCTCAAGGCTTCTCCAAGGCATCAAGTTCAAGCACGACGACGACGACTACGTTTTTGTTGTGTTGCCTTCGACCGCAAACCTTCAGGACTTTGGAAGCTGCCTACCGTCCCGCAATTTCCTTTCGCCGCAAGTCTTAACTTTCAGACGTTGGACGTAAAAAACAACAACTGGAGACAACTTTCCAAACAAACACCACAGCCATCATAACATGACAAAACAAAACAACAACAACCACGGCACAGGAAAAAATTATGAATTATCTGTATTGACCTAAAACTCATCACAACTCACAAGATATTTACGCGCTTTAATAGACTCGACTTCCAAACATAAATTAGACATATGTACTACACCAACGTGCCGGTTGCAACTCGAGTTTCATCAACTGCAGCATGCATCAGTCGGTAATGTAATGCACGCGCGTTTTACACATTTTACGGCCCGCCCCGCCATTCCGCCTATATTTAGACGTTTTATACGCGCCGCTCATTAGTCATGGCCACATTAATAGACCGAGGCAATCATTAAAAGCACGAGCGCGGGCGCAAGATAAAGCAACACTTTTCGGTTTATCAAGTCGAGTGAATGATGCGCTGAGCGTGCAGCAGCAGCAGCAGCGAAATGAAGTCAAGAACATTGTACACTGCAAAAAAAAAATCTCGATGGTCATGAATGAACTAGTTGCGTGAGCATGCACATGAGCAGCAATAGAGAACTAGGACTACATGTATCTCAAGCACACATTACACAAATGCAATGTGCTTGTATCCTATTGTATCCGAGAGTGGGTGAAATGTGAATTACTAGTGTTGAGGATTGATTGAATCCGCCGGCTCTCACCTGGGAGTGACTGATTGTGTATCGATCAATGTTAATAAGACCCTTGTGATCCTCTTGATTCGCACTGTTTGAATGCAGGCATGCGTGAGTAACACCTCTACTGCTCCCCGAATGTAAATGTGCATTTGTAGAAACATTTATTGCACCCGCAGAGTAACAGTCAAGCGCACCCTTATTTCCTTCATCTCCAGACTAGAAATTGGAAAAATGTAGTGTGTAATAGAAAGCAAATAATAATTCTGCTGGCGCTCTCGTTATGGGGTATTTTAATAACCACGAGGCACCCTTCTGCGACACACACGTATTGAATAAACATTGTTCCTTCCTGAAATGGTGGTTCGGGGTGGGTCGTTATATTTTTCTATAAGTGAGCGTTTAGTAAATAAATAGAGTCGTCTGCCGTACTGCTTGCAATGCGCTCATAATACATTGGTATTTACCCTCGGCCGTAAACCGAAAAAAGGTGTGACAAAACGTGTGACAGCCGACAGCCGACATGTGTATTATGTGTTTACCTCCTGTGGTACGCTCGCGTCTACTCCAGAGGGACTGCCGTACACTGCCAGAAGCGACAATAAGTGTTTTGCCAAGGACGCGACGCAAAAATCGCACCGGAAAGCGTGAAAAGACGCGAAAGCAAACCGAGCGAGCGAGCGGAAGGTAAAGGTGCATTTAATTCCACGCCGGAGAGAAGGAACTGTACTCTACGTCTGTCTGCTCTTTCAATATAATACCAAGTGTAGTCAGGGGAGTACAATACTAAAAAAATCAAAAATCCAAAGTGAAGAAGTGACGCAAAATCCAAATCCTCGCGTGTATGTTATTTCTTTTACCTGCGCGATATCTTATTCTGATCTTATCGTACACCAGGCACCAGCTCAACGGCAGCCAAAGATTTCATATTTGCAAATAATTGAATACCTCACGCTTCACGCCTCGCAACCGTCGCCAACCCACGAAAAAAAACCAGGAGCAAATAAATTATTCATGCGGTGTCACCACATCAGCACATTGCTACAACCAACAACACAACACAACGCACAACCCAAGACGAGACATCTCATAAATGATATAAGGAAAGGCAAAAAAAGGACCAGAATATCAAAAGCATCTCTTCAGTCGGCAGAAATAATTCCGATCACGATTTTCAAACCTGCATCGCGACATCTGTTGCAACACACAACTTTAATTAAATCCAGAGACAGCTACGCGTGAAAATACGTGTGTGACAACAACACGCTAATTAGATATTATTCAAGCAAGCAAATAAAAAAAAAAAAAAGAATACGCGTGTTTTTTTGCGATGTGCATGCATGCTTCTGACGTAACATGTGACGCCATGATGATGGTATGCTCACGGCTGGTTATTCGAAACAATGGCGTAGCTCTCACGTCAAGCCGGGACGAGTCGCACGCGTCAGCTTCGTCACACGTTGACACCATGACACGTGTCGGCGAGAATCATTACGCTGCGTATCAGCCGCATCGCGAACCCGAAACCCATCATCAGACGTGTAGCGCCAACCCAACGGAGACCACCTACTACCCGCATATGTTGGGCGATTTGTACAAGGTACAAGGGAGTGTTCCGCTCCACAACAAGAAAAGTTTACATATGATGATGACAAATTATATTTTTTTGATGCACAAGATAAGCTTCCTTCCAGTGGAGAGAGAGATTCCCTGAAATTAGTGTACGAGTATCAAAAGCTAAAAAGTCAAAGCGCATTTTTTATTTCCTCCTCACTGCCCCAGTAGTGGTACTCTGTAATGAGTAGCTTTTTCCACTTTGTTTCGACTTTGTTCTCCGCAAGAACTTGAAAGCGAAGGTTTCTTGTTGTGTTCCGAGCTTTGCGCGCGAGCAGCATACTGTTCGCGCGCTTTTGCATAATACTCAGCGCCCTGTGAGATAAAAGACTTTGTACATGTAGGCACTCCTTTCTGGAGTCCATCTCGCATAGAATCTACAATATATTGTTTGATTGCGAAACTACTATGCCAGCAAAGAAACGCAAAAACGCTAAAAACCCGGCGCTACCCAGCGCTTAAAAAACTGGAACTTAAAAACGTGAAAACTCTAAACTCAAACGCTTTCTGTTTTTCGCCATTAAAAACACGTCCGTGGGGACAATGGCCATGTTGAAAGAGTTTGCAATATGAAAATCTACGTATGTACATTCACTAACTAAATGTTAAGATTATTTTTTCGCTAGTTATTTTATTTTTTCTTGTTTTTAGTTGACGATTACGATGCAAATGAGTTGCACGTTATTCCAGGTACTCCAAGGTGAAAAACTCGCGATCGCACGTTCATTAGCGATTATTTTTAAACGCTCTTATCGCGCGCTAGATTTAATACCACCTACCGCATGACTTATTAATCGCGATTACGAAACGAACGAGTAAACAGCGCGCGCCGGCGATGCGAAGAATCTCATTAGAACGCGCAGGCGAAATGAAGCGAGAATCATCGAGCAAGAATCATGCAGCCGAGCACCACAGCTGATAAGTGCCAGCCAGCCGAGTGCCAGTGATGGATAGACCAGCGTCGGCCAAGGCAAAGAGAGATAAAGTGCGTGGGCGAAAAGAAGGGAGGCTAAATCAGAGCGCTCCTGCTCATGCTCCTGTGCTCCAGTTACACGATCATTCTTCATAAATCATGACTAACTATACGGAATTATGAGGAGGCTGAGGAGGACGCTAGCCGACCGAGCGACCCCAAGACGAGGAGACGAGAAGAGTGGGTGCGAACGGTGCGAGGGTGCACAGCCTCGGCGAAGGGTATATTATCGCCTCGGGTCATTGCGACGGGTGTTGGATAGGACAAGAGAAATATCCCCTTCCAGCTATTGCTTTATGGCTCACAACTCTCACAACGCGACAGCGGTCGCTATGAAGAAGCATCACAGCATCAACGATTGCCACCGACACCCCCGACACAACGGGGTCTTCCCAGGTAGTCGCTTGGGCTGTAAACTAGCAGCACTACTCAAATCTATTCAATTCAAACATTTCAACTAGAATAATTCCAAACACTAATTTCGACAATTGTGGTAGTTATTTTTTTGCGTGTACCACAAAATTTATTTCGTTTCCAAATTGCAGCCTGAAGCCCTGCCCGCAGTCCCCACGGCCCGCAGCCATTTACATTCGAAAACGCGGAACTAATTATGAAAGAAACTTTTCTTATTATCGCCGAGCCGCCAAGTGCGCGCGCGAGCGACAGGGAAATATTTCGACGTAAAATGCCACTTGAAACTTCCACTTCTGCGATTTCCTACCGCCGACGAAAATTTATACCCGAATGTTAAATGAGCAAAAATAATAACACGAAATTGGAATCGCTCACTTTACACACAGCGCGCCGCCTATCACGATGATCATCTTCAATATGTTTCGAAACTTTTTTGTTTGCGTTTCAAGCCGGAAACGAAGCAAGCGAAAAAAAGACATTGCTCCTTCGAAACGTGAAGTGGCATCACGAGCGCAAGACACGCGGAAATTGGAATCGGAAGAAATAAATTAAGAAAGGTGCGAAAATGAGATCGGATTATCTCGGCGGCTGCGTGAGACCTCGCACCGCATAATTCAATCTTGCGTGACCGAAAAGTCTTAGGATTTTTTTTGGCGCATCCCACGCGAGCGGAAGACGAAAGCTGAATAATAATAATCGAATTTATTTTTTCGCCACGTAAGAAAATATAGAGTAAAAATGCGAATTTATTTTATAGTATGAATCAGTATCAGACAAAAGGGCAATGACTTAAAAATGAAAGCAACAGTTTGTGAGTGTTATCAGATGCCGCCCGAATTCGCTTTGATTTCGCCGCGGTTTTTAATTTCACAAATTTGTCCTCACAATGAACCCGAACCGACTTGACCTATCGACAATGCGAGATAATGAATACCCGAGAGTCGGCCTCATGCTGATGAGCAAGTGTGGGCGAATGTTGCGAATATAGTCGAGATACACGATACAGAGCCCAGTATACAACCCGTACAAGATGCGATGCAATGCACTGCAAGCGAGGAACCGAAAGTCTTCGTGCGTCGGTTGCCTCGGTCGCGCAGCCGGAGTCGAAACTGGCGTCGTGCTGTGGTGGTAGGAAGCGTCAGAGCTTTGCGTTTGGCGTTTCTCGTTTCTGTTTTCAGTCGCCAACCGTGTGGCTCTGCGTGCACAACTCGGGTTACCGCCGGCGTGAAAATCGCGCGCGCGTGTTCGTCGCAGAACGCAATATGCGCTTTTGTTCGCAGCTCTCACCGAGTTCGTAATCGTAACTTTTCGCAAGTGTTAGAGTGGTGCACAGCTACCCGACCGGCCAACACCGGACTGGTTATTCTAAAATTTCCAATTGAATTACACGCCGCTTACACATGGATTTCGTCATATTAAAAGTAAGTTTCCACACTCACATAACGCCATAGTTTACCAACTAGTACACTACAAAGTTTTCCAACAAGCATTCAATATTAAATTACAAATTGTTTCATCGCTATTACACGGCTTCGCATCGCAATTGATAGTTTTATTGCGTGTTCTAAAACAAGTGTATCCTTGAATGAAGAAATGTCACTGACTGCAAGCGTCTCTTCGGAGAAGCTGGGTTTTTGATTACTTACTTTTGAATACTTAGGATTAGCGTTGACAACTTTATGCGCTTACACCAGTTGCAGCTTTGACTTTTATAAGAATCCCCAGTTGACTTCAAAGCCTTTCCATTAACACAACAAAAAAATGTTTAAAACAGCGCGCTGTGTAAGTTTTAATCTCGGGAAACAAAATTCGAAATTTCATAGTTTTATATTACGATCAAAAGTTTATTCAAGCAACGAGCAACAAGTATTCTCTATGTGTGTTCAACGTTCAGAAAATCTCTAATCGCTGAAACAAGAAACTTTTATGCTGCACCACTACGAATATACGAGTACATCTACACGGTGTTAAATAGCAGCGCAAAAGTCTTGTTCAGCGAAAAATCTGACGCCTGTCGGATGTTGTTGATGCAAGTTGCAACTTGCAAGTTTGGTAACTGAAGCGTACAGCTAGACATAATCAGTGGGTGCATCTGCCGGTTGCATTTTATGCCCAATTCACTAAGCACACCACCCAAGTAAATGGATGATCTTATCAGACACTCGAGGTGTCACTCGCCGAGGTTTTCGTCTGGTGGCGAGGCGTAAGTAACACAAGTTGGTAAAATAAACGGCGCATGCATAATGCACCGACTGGCAACTGGATGCACGGCGCCCTCGAGCTAAAGAAGCTCAACCAACTACTTGGCGCAGAGGGATCTTGATAAAATTCAAAATTCGTGGTCTCCATCTTCGTCTTGAAGCTTTTCGCGACGAAAGATCAGCGCAGACATTCGAAACTTGCTGCATCTGCTAAGTATATAGTCTCGCAACGTGTCGCCGATTAACATTTTGCACCTTGCGTTTGGAATTTGTTCAAGATTGTGACATATGCATAGCAGGCACAAAGCGAGCACAGCGAAATGCACAAAATGAAAACTCGAATTATGTCGCTCTCACGACACATTTATTTGCGTGCCGCGAGCTGGTTGTGCAGAGTGCATGTGCCCGTCATGCAATTTGCTCGTACGTCATCTCGAATTATAATGGCTGCGACAACGAAAACGATAATCACGCGGGAGCTGAAGCAACACGTCGAGATATGGATGTGTCTCATCGGCGCGCACAATTTAACGCTCTTCGTTTGCATTAGGGCATTAAACTTATTACCGTCTTTTCGACTTGCCTTTCCAACACACATACACTTGCTTCTTCATGAGCGCAAAACAAACTTAGCATTCGACCCCATGAGGAGCTAAGTACGACGCACCAAATGAGTCAAACTAAAGACCAAATAGCAGGGCGCCTTCTAAACTAAGAAGCAACATCCCAGTTAGAGATAAGGACTACTAAAACCGTCTAAGACCAAGTCTAAATAGGAAATTTTGGAATTTCAGAGACGTTAACAAATGTTTGCATATTAACTCCTTTTCACAAACTCGAGCAAAACTCGCAACTTCACTAAACAGTATTAACACTTTGTCATTAACCATTCGAATGGATTAACTCGTACATGCATACAAATGTGGGGATCTTTACCCAAAGCTTATTTCTGTATTTCAAAACTTTATAACTTTCTTCATCTTTATTGTATACCGTAATTCTTCATCCAAAATTCCCAAATTTCCTAATATCTTTTATTACCTTGAAAAACCTAATCCCCGAGTCGGACGGTTTGGCACGACTCGGATTCCCAGAATCCAATGGTCAGCTTTCCCTCTCTTCAATGTCATACACTTTCTTCTACCAATCCAATCTATTACTTTCTTCCTACTTCCAAATTTCTTGTCACCACCCATCAACCTGAAGGGTTGCTGGTGGGTGACAAGGGTTTAGGAAGGACAGTTCTTCACATTACTTCAAACACTACAGTTCTTAACTATTCTTCTCTACAATACTTCTTAACTATACTTCTTCAAGACTTCTTAATAAACATTGTTCGTGATAATAAACATCGTGTCTTTTAACACACATCAATTATAACATTTGCACTCACTCACCGATCCCACACAAACAGCGATTCTATGCATACAAAAAGAATTTTGAAAAATATCATCATGTTGCACTAGGAAAGTACTGTAATATGCATAACCGAGGAAAGCCGGATATGCGATTATAATCTGATCCGCATCCACCCCATCCGGTATGTTGACGTCCAACCCTCTCATACCTCTACCTTCTGCTGCCCTACCACCCCTGGGCCAACGTTGTCAACAGGCTTGTCCAGCCTCGCGGTCCATCCTGTCAACCGCAATTCCAGCAACGTCCACAATAACAACCACCACCCTTGCAATGTAACTGCAGTCCCGAAATATAAATAGACAGACATTAAACGCGCACCGCGCGCTCGCCCAGGCAGCAAAAATCGCTGATTGATGCATAGATAATTTCTCAGCCTGTCAAATAACACGACGCCACGATGCGCGCCGCGATATTAAACGCCCGATTCGTTTTGCTTCGCGTACCTACGGCATATATTTATACAAGCGCGCATTCATTGACTCCTGCGCCCGTCGTTTTCATTGCGTTTTATTACAACCCGCGGTGGATTACGGTCGTTTGCTCGTAGGAGTAGGAAAAACAAGACTGCGAGTACAAGAGTAAGAGCAAGAGCAAGGGGAAGTATCGCGTTTCAGCTTGCTCCCCACACATAAATTAACCAGAGCATTTGTTGCTCTTGTTTGGCAAGCTGTACCGATCAACGTGCATTACTCGTGCGGAGATTCCTGAACAATTCCTATCAAAAATTACGTCTTTGGCCACAGTAGAGATATTAAAACGTTCGTAAATATTAAAAGTGGCAATTAACGAACCAGCCAACGAATTTTCAAGGATGTTCGGATGTGGCACGTATTCACGATCCATATTTTTTCGAGTGGGCTCTTCATTGAAATTTAGATCGCTCTCCACCACCACCTCACACAGAACCGAATAAAATCAAATGTGTATCAACGCTTTTATCACTGCGCCCACTCTTCGCACACTCTCATCTCACAGCCGCATGCAATTGGTACTTTAATAGATTTTAATTAAATCAATGATTGACGCAACACGCACTGTGCATTGTTTGTTTACCCGCTGTAGCCGCAGTTTCATCTGCGATCAACAAAAAATAGAAGCTTTGTTAGCAGTTTTAAGTCTGTCTGGTAAACTTCTGCGATGAAGAAAGTTGCCCGTGGTCAGACTAACTTTCACGCATTCACCGGGACGCACGCAAAACTAAATTAAAAGCCAAAGTTTGCATTAATTATGTTAACGTTAAAAGGCATGACACCGCCCGGCGACGTGCCCAACTTCAGCAGACCCCCATTCGTCCTTTTGGTCGTTCGACGTCGTCCGCGGCAAACAACAAGTTACGTCCTTAGTTGTGTGTTTCTGAAAGGGTTTTGCTTTTGCCTTTGATTTTCCTCCCGAGGCGCACAAGTCAAGTGTGAACCGACTTCTGAGGACTGTCGGGCATGAAATATGTATATGTAAGGGTATACACTTGCTACACACCCGAAAGCAAAACAAACCGAAAGAAATATGCAATAAAATCCGCCCGCCGAAAGAGGCAATATTTTCAAGGATACCGCATAATCCGCGCGCGCGGAAGATAAAAATGCGCACGATTCAAATGAGGTAATTCCTAAGCCAAACATGCTTAACTTTTCCAAATTTCCCTACGAGACGTTTCTTTTTCATTCGCCGCACAAGTTCTACACTAGTGTGTAATGTCACATGGGAGTAAAGAGCGGTTGAATGTGGACCACACGGTCGAAATAAATAAGTTTCCTAGCAAGTCGAGCGCTGGCAACGGACAAATGAAAATCCCTTACGATATGAGCTTGGATTACCGAAGGTACTGAAGGATCTCTCACGCCCGGGTTGGGCGCAAACGCAAGAGCACCGCAAGACTAATCTCGCGCCGCGCTGAGCGCCAGAGCATAATTGTTTCAGATTCCGTTTGCTAGTTACAATTTCCCTTCACAGAGCTAAGTCGACACCCGTTCATTGCTAAGGATTATTTCTTGATATATTGTTACGACGGCACCGCGCCGACCGAAATTATATCTTCGACGTTTCAGCGGGTTCAGCGCTCGAAATTAAAACGAAAGCCCGAAAGTCGGGAATTATTGAAAGCCAACCGGCGTAAACCCAAAGTTAAGCGCGCGTGACTTACAATCGAAACTGTCGTCAAAGACTGACTTTAAAGGTGCCCTTGGATGAGCGGCGAGTAATAAAGTGATTTGTAGACAAATAAATGTGTAAAATTCAAATTCAACGGCACGCTCGGTTGCATCTTGTGAGATATATAGAAAAGTCGTAATTTCCCCCTAGCACAACCCCCAGCACGCTCTCCATCATTGATGTTTTATTGCCGCGATATAAAACTCCGAAGCCGAGATTCAAATACGTAAAACTGGACGCATTCGAGTTTTCATAATAAGTATGACGACAAAATGACTAAAATAAATATTTAGTTGGCTTACCAGTAGTGTGCCACTAGGGGTGGTAAAGTTGGCATCGTGCCGCATCCGATGGCGCTCGAAATCCTTGAATAAACTGAAAAAGAAATTAAATATGGTTATCATTGGTGCAAGTAAAAAGCAAGCAAAACCACGCGCGAGAATTCACAAACTAAAACTTCAACTGCAGCGCCGCGACCCGATGGAAATGAAAAATGTAGAGGGATGAATAATTAGCATAACTATTTTTCGATTTTCAGGACTGTTCTTTGCAGCGCTTCCGGTTTTTTTTCTTTACCTAGTCGTACTAGAAAAGAAGCCGCGTCCTGCGCGCACAAAACCTGAGCTATTTGATATTCAGCGCGAGTTTCTCGAGCACTAGCACCGGCACGATTCGTTATTATGAAGAACCTGATGAAAACCACCCTCAGTTATATAATACCTTGTTAATTATCACTTTTTATGCATAAATTTCTAATTACAAGCTCAAGTTTAAACTAAATGCTTAAAATGTAACATTTGACGATGTAGAATTGACATGTACATGAGTCTCAAACGCCCATTTCCTGTTCTATAATTATCGAAAATATTTCGACTCCCTGGTCGAGAGTCTGGCGTTGTCTGTGAGCTGATAGAGGGCGGCATTGCAGTCGGAGAGACTTGGGAGAGGCTGACATGCGACGACATTTCAAGATAACGCTAATGCAATAATATTCCGAAAATTAAATGAGGGCCTCTCGGCTTCACTGCCACTCCGAGCCAAATTGGAACTGCCAAGGACACATTATCACCCCGTAGACGTATAAATAAACGCCTGCCGCAAGAAACTACTGTAGATATTGATTTATGACTTCATCCATATACAACTTATAAAAATAATCCAAAATTTTACTATTGATGAATTGTTACACATGAACGACACCTTCATTTACACGCCTTTCATCGTCGTTGAAGAAGGAAGAAAAAACTTTCACCTCTTGAATGTTATACCTAGAGACTTGCGTCGGAGTTTTGAAAGGTTTCAAAAAAGCATAAAGCATAAATCAGCCCCGATAAATTCCAAATGGTCACAGTCGCACCATCAAAGACCTTTTTTCTCAACGCCGCAGCTCGTCGACACCCTCTCACGTCGAGTTCATTTTTATTTGGAATTTAACTTTACGAAACGTTTGCGTCGGAAAGTTTCTGCCTCCCAATCAATAGGCAAATATATTAGTTTCCACGAGACCGTGTCATGGTTCGGCTTAATTAAAGCGCAAAGTTGGGAGTAATATTTGGGGCAGAGCTGTTAAAGGCCATCAAGACCCCGCGGCATGGGGTTCCGGTTGTAAAACCTTATTTAAATCCAAATGCATTGCATGCATGCGAATTACTTGCAGAAATCAACACGATAAATAATCACGCCACCTTTTTTTCTAGAAACTTATTTCAACACGCGCCCGCATGAAAATTTGACCTAAAAACCTACCGACATTTAAAAAAATATACTCAGACCTACTTAGATTACATTTTAGCACAAATACAATTTTTATTTTATCCTGGAAAATATTGCAAATGAGTGCAAATTAAAATTTTGTCGAGTAATAAATTGGTTAAAAGTTAATTAACGCATGGAAAAATTATGCCATCATGTGTAAAACCACCGCAAATAAATTAATTTACATGAAAATCTGACAATTGCAGCACTGCCGCCAGGCACAATGCTCACAGGCTCGGAAACGATGAAATTAATTAGCGCATAGTTTCGAAACTCTCTGACCAGTGCTCTCTCAGCTCCAAACGTCCGAAGACGTTTTTGCGCAATTAAATTCCGCAGCGGTCAGGAATTAATTAAATTATTAATTAATAGACACAAGTCAGCCCGACATAATAAATCATCACATTTCACTTCAAGTTCTCTTTTCCGAAAATTTATTATGAATGATTTTTGTTTATTTGCGCAAATTGTTACCAGACAGGCACAGGTGAAATACAAATACAACTGTTTTCGGATGGTGGACATTTAGCACACTTTTATCGCGAGAGCGAGAAACGTCGCTCGGACGCACACGAAGCGTGAAAAACTATAAAAGTCTATAAAAGTTTGTTCATTGAATTAGTCCTCGCGCGTCCGTGGGCTTCCGTTTTGTGCCCCTGTTAGTTTTTACTTCTTTAGTCACTCATCTACTCTCGCAGTTCAGAGGAGAGCTAAGAAAACACTCTGTGTATGTGTGTGGCGCTGAATGTGAGAATGTGTAATGGAGAGAAAAGGTTTACAGCTTTTTTCCGCGCGCCGGAATTTATTATTACGTCTCCTCCACTGTTTACGCTCGCGTTTAGTTTTTAAGTTTACTTTTATTTTACGCTTGCGTTTATATTTACGCGAATGGTCGCGACGGGTTAATAAAATCGTCAGCGGGGCACAGAGTGCATGAAAACTATGAATATAAACTGATGAAATTTTCATGTGCATCAATCTTACACGTCGACGAGTTAATATGAAGAATTGCGCGTTAACTGCGCGAAGACGTTTTTATTTCGGCAATTTTGAGCGCAAACGAGGTGATTATATACATTTTATCGGTGGAAATGCAATTTTCAGAACGTATAGCGCCAAATTAACATTTTACAACGTCGAAATTGATTAAAGTCACTTTGTAACACTCAACCAAAGTTGAAGATCTCAACATTTTCTTCAAACACTCACTATAACAATAACAATAAAAATATTATTATGAGTATTATCAAGCGAAAGTAGATCTAGAGAATGCGTTAGCCATTGTTGTACTCTCACTTTCAGAGTGAATGCAACGCTTTATTGCAATTTTCATTCCCCGAAACAATGAAATCTATTTGTACGGAATTGCTTCCATTGTGTGAGCACATCCGAAAAAGGAACTCGACGCCCGAAACAGCCGAGTGAATAATGGCAGAAAAACTATTTTTCTTATTTAGCCGTCCCCGCTTGTGCACTGAGACATTGTGTGTTTTTGCGCGTGTGTTTGCGCGCTATCAATTTCTTGCTGCCGAAAACAGGACGAAATTAACATGATTAAATTTATCAGCACTCGTCACACGATAGCGTCTAATTGCGATGAGGAAAAACTATCTCGTCGAGGAAATTAATGCCATCGACCTTTCTTTCGCTTGCAGCGTGGTGTTTTGTTTCGCTTCTCGGGGGAATCGCGCTTTATTTGTTTCGTAAGCGCGTGCAAACACGATGGAAGCAAGCGCACACTTAGTGTAATTTGTTTTGCACTTATAAACTAAGTCTGTACAAATATAATAATGATATAAATAATTATATGTTTATAATACAATAAGCAACTGTATTAAATAATAAAATACAATTTTTATGTATTGAATATTTACATTTCTGATAAATAAATCTGCTTGGAAAAAAATGTGTCACATTTCCGTAGAGATTCGTTTCGTAGTGATTCGAAATGTAAATCGAATGAGCATCGATAAGATACGAAATGAAGACGTCCGCGATAAGCACCACACACAAATCAAACACCTTGCTGGCGCAGGGCGCGTGAAACCCGAGCGGAAATGCAGACATCAATCATCGATTTTAAAAGCATGCACTTTTCCCGGCTTCGATTTGGGGCGAACGAAAAACGAACAAATTCCGGAGCGCCCGTAGATGTACTTTTCGAGTGTCGTGCTTGCGCTGGCATCAATTTGTAAACTCTATCTCCGTCCGCGTATCGAAGCATCTTTTAATCATTTTTATGCGTCGCGACGGCGACGCGCACGGTAAGCTCCTAAACGCCGCAGCCGTAAAAGTATAAATTTTATGATTTACGACGCAGATAACTTTTAACATGCGCTTAAAAATCTCTACAGTGACACTAATTTCCTAAAATTTATTTATAATTTTACAACCTGCTAACTTAAGTAAGGTAACCACAGCGAGTGTTGTCGAAAATTTAAAATTTAATGATTTACAGCTTTGTATGAAATTAGATGGGTGTTTTTTGAAAGTTTCAACAACATACCGCACGTCGTCGTTTCAGACACGTATTTCCGCGCACGCACTCTGTGTTTTTTTCGTCTTTCAGTGGGAGATGCCGCAATTTATTGTTTTCACGTGTGGACAGAAGGCGAGCGAAATATTGCTGGCGGAAAGTTGGCAAAACTAAGCGGCGAAACGTGTAAATTGTTTCTCTGTATATACATAACAAGTCAAAACAAGCGTGAAACAAAAGGAGAGGCATAAATTTACATTTTGTTTGCGCATTGTTTGCTCGAGGAGTGGAAATTTACGAAATTCGGCGCGGCCATGTAATTCGGAGGTTGAAATCAATTAAACTCGAAACAAAGCCTCAATTAAAGGCAAAATTGAACGTGTCGGAGAGATTTTTCTTTTCACCCAACCACCGCGCAGTTTATATTTACCGAAACTCAACTTCAACTCCCAAGTAAGAAGTAAGAAGTGGGCAAGAAACCATCGGAAGGAATCGCATTATAGAATAGGATTATAAGCAGCGTACGAATTTAATTATACAACAAAAGTCCCATTCTCCATCCTCGAGATTCGACGTTAATTCCGCGCACAAATTCAATAACTCCGCATCGGGATTAACAAATGCGGTTTTGTTACCGAGCTGATTTCTCGAAACACTGCTGCTCCACAAATTGAATTTTATCAATATTTAATAGTGTAGTTATCGTAATATAATGAGGTCTATATATTTCCTTATTAGTAGTCACAATCGAAAGTATTGTTCGAAAGTGGAACTCAACTCTCTGACTCAGACCGGTCGGATGATTTGTGCGACAAACGAGTTTATGTAAACGTTAGTTCAATGGTCAATGCCAATTACAGTAATTATGCATTTATGTAGCATCGCATAAATCGCGTACGCAGAATCGTGGAAGAAAGGAGGTTCGCGTCGTAAATTTCAACCGCAATGACTGTGGGTCTACATTTTATGTGCCCTCGCGAACTTTATGTCCTCGGCATGGCCGACGGCGTAATCGCATAATCGTCGCGCATGGGAATAGCAATAGCGGACGTGTGCGTTTTGTAGTGTAAATTAATTGCGACTGCACTTGCAAACCGCATTTAGCTAGTGTACATAGGTACCAACTCTCGAGACTTGGACTCTATCCACCTATCCACATCTCGCGAAGAATTGCAAATGTTAATTCCCGCTATGAGATGATTATTATCCTCCCTATCAACCCTCGTGTTCTGCGACAAATCTTGCACAACTCTTCTGGTTTTAATTGAGCGGAAAACTTTAGTTTTCAACTTAAAGTTAACCACCAATGAAATAAAGACATTATGAGTTCATACATGTGTGGAGGTGCAGTAAAGGTGTGAGTTTTTGCACTGATTGTACCGAGTTTTTCGTCGTCGTCGTCGCGGTCGGATCTTGGATCCGGAAATGCCGTGCGCCAAGCCATCCGTTTTCCATTGAGCACTTCTTTCCACCGGCCCGTGCCAACCAACCCAAGCGCACGGGTAGATTTTTTTCTCTTCTGCAAGAGTCGTAAATCTCGCGGTATTTTGTATCGCGTTTGGAGAGCGGCCATCCTCGTCCGCACTTAGCGCAAAGTGTTCGTAAATTAAAAGCACAACGACCTGCGCGGACTAAACCTACGAAAATTTCTGCAAGAATGCATTTTTTCTTCTTTCTTAACTTTCTTACCGTTCAAAAAATAGCAGAACATCAACATTTATATTTTTTCAAGGGGATGGTTATAAAAATGTCGTGTGAATGCAATAAAATTTCCCTACGCGCTTTTTTCCTCGTTTTTCTTGCCGTAAACGTTTATGTACTCACATGTCGTATAATGAAGTCGACAAACATCGAGACATTATCTACCCTCAGTCGTGGCGCATGTAAACTACTGGTCATTCACACACATCATCGACGACAACGATGGCATGTGTTTATTCAAGACATTCACGTGCGTATCTACACGTGGGGTTATGTTATCGCCAACTACAATCACGAAGATTACATTGGCAGCGAAATAAAAAAAAGAAGCGAGGATTTTGTATTCAATCATGCATTTAGTATACAGGGGCGTACACAAAGCAAAAACATACAAAAAATATCACAAGGCGCGAGTTTTACTAGGAAATGTAGTTCCTATTTGTGCGCGTATGTCGGCGAAACGAACGTGAACGTGCGCGCACATAATAATCATTTTCAAAACAGACGTGTTACGAAAATAGGCGCTACACGTGTATTTCGAGCACTCATGCTTCATACTTACTCACTTCTTGTTCTAGCAGTGAAATTATTCAAACACAGAACTGAATTGTGAATGTTTTAAATTAAAATCTGTCCGTATCGTGTTTTTTATGATTATTATTATGGTTATTATTATGATATGAATGTGTGAAATTAATCGCTGGTTCGCGGACACACATTCGCAATGTTTTTCCAATTTTCCGCGCCGAGAGCGCAAATGTCGCCTGATTAACGAATCGGATTATGGTCAATCGCAATAAATTGCGGCCTGCGTGCAAAGCCACGATTTAAATTGTGCGCCGAAATATCATCCCTCTGATGGCGATGCAGCGCTGTGTGCGCAACCACAACAGGCGTATGTGTTATAATGACATGGACGCTCGCGTCGGCGACGCAACGAGAGCCCTCATTTACGTGTAATTTGTATTACGGCACGTGCAAATTGTGCATCCCGCTGCACAAGAGCTGGTTGGTCGGCTGGCACTTAAGCGAGTAAACACGGTCCAAAGTGCACCACACACACACACACCATGCCGATATAATTAAATCAATTTAAATTATGCACGGATTTATTAGCATTACATTATTATTATTAAATTAATGCGGTGCGTGCGCACGCCGGGGCCCTGTCAGCTCGAGCCTGGGCCTCTAGCGACGGCGGCGGCCTAATGGGATTAGAATTTGTGTGACAACACAACAATAACAGCGTTCAATTTACTTTAAACGCATAAACCCACCACCAGTACCAGTACCAATGGCACCAACAGCAAGCAACATGCTTGACTACTCACCCTCTTCTCTCTGCCAATGTGTACATGTGTAGGACATGTTGCGAAACGCGTGGAAATTGAAATGGAAAGCCGGCGGTAATCGCCACCAACGAAGCCGGGCGGAAAATTATTTAAAACGCCGCCTGCCCACCCGCACGCAAAGCAAAACCATAAAACCTATTGTCGTGCACGCGTTCGGTACTTGGTACTACATACATGTGCGCGCGGTGTGCCTTGTTTTATGTTGCTTTGACAGTCGGCGATATATTGCCCCCAGTGCGTGCGTCGGGAGGAGTAAATCATCCCTGGTGTTATTGTTTGCCGAGGCATATTAGTTTGTGACACTTTGCGCGCAAGCAGAGACACTGGACACCCTGATCAGTGAAACCCGCAAGGAGTAATAGTGTTGGGTCTGGGTGCAATGTGCATGCAACGTGCGACATATTGCATTTGCCGCTCCATCGGCCTGTGTGGGACTGTGGTCGCTTCTGCTTATGCTCTTTACCTCAACGCCAAGCAGTGCAAGGCGTCTCAAAGCCAGCAATTCCTCACTGAAAGCCAGCCAAGCAGCAGAAAGCTTCTAGAAGCACACATACAACAACATACCTACAATCTGACTATATACTATGTTCTAGTAATAAAACAACTAAAATCAAAATTAAATAAATCGCACAGAAAATTTTAAACCATTTCATAAAAAATTAATAAATTTGTTGTTTTTTTTGCATTTTGCGGTTGATTTATGGTGTTTTTATTTATTTTAAAACTTAACCTTGGTCCTTTTGAAGGTGACTAAGGTATAGTACGTATAACACGTATGAAAGTTACACCTACGCGTTTCTTGTTGCTTTAAAAACATGAAACGCGAAGTGCACGAGTGCACGATCGGCTGAATATTGTTCACGGTTTCGCGACCTTCGCCAGTGCAACTTAAACTTCCATTACACTAACATACTATATCCTCTTTGTATTTTAAAAGAATGTGTCTACTAAGCAGATTCAACTTGAAGTTAACAGTTAACGGCATTCTTTTTAAAAATAACAATTCTACCCACATTACCCTGGAATTGCTATTGCTATTGCTATATACTGCAGTTGTTGTGTAACTCAAGTGAATTTCTATTATTTCAAGGGGGAAATTCATGAAATTGTTACAACTACAAGGTGTGATTTATACCTCACAAACTTTCGACTTACGACTCTCTGACTGTCTATTACAATGCACCACTAGACTGTATTCTACACAGTGGAGTAAAGTAGAGTAGTTGCTCTTTTCGTCCTGCGGAATTTTCCCCGTTGAGAGAGAAAATGCATCATAAATAACGACCTGCCCAGGACGCTCCGGAAAAACTCCCATTATAAAGCATTCGCGCGCGCGGTTGTGAATATATCCCAGGCGAGGGAGCAGCTTAAAAAGTCCAACACACCGCCGCTGCCATAGTATAAATATATTTAAAAGTGCTACAAATTATGGGCAGGCGTGCTTGGCGCGGTTGGCGAATGTGGCAAATGGGCCCATCCGGGGGCCACCGATGCTAAATTATTAATCGGACGAATTCGCCCACGTAAACCACGCACGCCGTTGTGCATTCACCTGTGCACTCCCTCCTCGAGAGAAGCTCGCGAGTGAAATTTATTCGCGCACCGCACATTTTATCAGATAGCTAGTTTCAGGTGCAGAGCATAAAATTATAATCAATCGGTGTGGGTTGAAGAGGATGGGTGAGTAACGATTATTTGTCTAGTTTCAAAAAGTTACAAATTACAAACTCTCATGATGGGATATTCAGTAGCTACCTATTAAAAAACAGAGTAAACAACAAACTTTTCCTACACTATGCGCGCATTATCCATTATTCTATCAGGAGTAAATTTAAAAACTAAAACCGCAGACGGAATTCAAGGTAAAAGTTACAAGTTCATAAAAACTTTCCACTTTTTATATTTTGAACATTTCAATTGAAAATTTTATCTCGCGTTTATTTGTTTTCGACTGTCTACTGTATCCCGTATCTCACTGTTGGAACAGTGAGTAATGAGTAATTGAATGAGGGAGGACCCGATTCGATTTCGTCATCTCGTCCATCTCTTTGACGCCGCCGCCAGCTATCTACGCGCGCCCGGGGGGCGGAAATTTAAAAGGATAAGAAATTTAATTCTCAACAAAGAGATGACATGGACGTGGACATGCGAGGGTGACTCTATGCCCTGGGGACGCGTATTGTATGACCGCTCTCTCAAAATAAAAAAAAATCAGGAGGGTGTGACTATAGAAAGTAAAAATTCCATTTCAACAACAAAACGACTCAAAAAAATTTCGATGATTACCAATGTATTTTCTAATTATATACTGACTAGGTTGTTAAAAGTTTTGCACATAACAACAAGTTTTACATCTTTATTACCAGTTATTACCCGAGTTAGTAGTTTATTAGGTTTTGCTAGCTTTACAACATCCCCAACAACATTTATTAACTAAGTTTGTGCCGTGCGTTTTTTTTTGTGCGCCGCTGAAGGAATTTCCAAAGATTCAAGGTGGGAATGGGAGTAGTTGTAAAAAGCAATATTGCAATAAAGTAGACGTCCTGGACGGGCCTACCGAGTGGGATTTTAGCCCTCGGAAAGTTCACCAAAGTATGAGAGGGCACGTGCGTTGCTGGCTGCGTCTATACATCAAGCTCGAAGTAGGAAGGATCGCTTTATAGACGCGACCGACGCGACGTCCATAATGCCTTATATAAATTCGAAGGCTTTGCCGGATTTCCCAGCAAATGCGACAAGAAATACCAGAACTAGTAGCACTATAAAACAAGTTAGACTAAAGTGTGAAATGTGCCATGTCGCAGCATGGTAATGCAGAGACAACAGACAACATCTCATTTATCTGAATTACTCGGCGGAGGTTAATGAAGCGGCCCGCGCGACCGAATCAAACACTGTCGGACATAATATCGCGCTCGTTTATAACCAGTAAAAAAAGGAAAAACTCGAATATACTCTTTTAAACGCGTCTTTTTATGTTGAATTTAATCTCCGACATAATCTTTCACTAACAAAAGAATGATTCAACTCTAAGGGTCATTCATTAATTTTAATGAATCACATACACACATTTATTCTCCTTAATATAACATTTTTAATAATAAGTAATCAATTACGTATTCAAATCAAGGATGGTTCCACAATGTTTGCTTGTTTAATTCGCGCTGCAGGCGTGTGTTTACATGTTGAAATTCAAGTTTAATTATTCAAGGGTTATGCTCCTCGCGTATGCATGGGGAAGAATGCAATTATGGCTCGTTACATGAGAAGTTGCAAGAATCGCGCCCTTGGCGCGCCCGCGAATTTGGGCCAAACGTCTGAATTAACAACGTATTGTTAAATATGTAACGAGCACCCCGGTTAAGAGCGGCTCACCTCCGGAATTAAACCGTTGCGCTTGTAATTTGCGCGTTTTCAAGCCCTCATCACAGCGGTAGGTACACTTTTCCTGCGGTGGCGAAGACAACACATGCAGACATGAAAATTCATTGCGGACGCGAAACGGTTATGATCATGAGCACGCCGGTGCGCGGTCGTAAAAATCGATCGCGAAACACACCAAGGAAGGAATTTAAAATTAAGTGACACTTAATAGTAGCTGATGGGTGGCGGGGTAATAGCATTAATTTCTTAAGCCACAAATGTTACACTTCAAGATGGAGATTCAAGTTGACGTTTTAAATTTACGGAATGTTTAACTAAGTACTAAATTTCCATCCCTTGTAATACCTACATAGGGGTGCCTGAGCGACGCCAGCGGTTAGTTATTACCTGTCGTTTCAAGTTTCCAGCCACATGACAATATATTATCCAGGAAATTCATCTTCCTGCCGAAATCAGCGTGGCGATCCGTCTTGCGCGTCTCGCCACGATTACCAACATCGCGAATCGATCAAACCGCCGGTAATTGCCGACCATCTTCAACCAATCGCACGATATATATCTGTCTATATATATAAATAGTGCGCCGAGCATCTTTTATCGTCTGCCGGGGTATGGCGTCTCTGGGGGATTTATTTTCGCGAATGTTTGCGGAATTTCCGCGGCTCACGGCGCCATTCTTTCCGATTTGCGTCCCATTCTTCCGAAAACGCTCCGATGAATCTGCGCATTTGCAGAAAGAGGCAAAGAAGCGCAAAACGAACTGAAATCCACGCGCCAAAGCTCCGAAATCCGCTGATTTCGGAGATTATTGAAAGAACGCAGACTTTTACCTCACATTGGAAACTAATTAAAATGAGATTTCGTATCATCATCATAATTTCGCCTTGATGCGAACAAAAAATACACCATCCACCGGAGAAGGGTTGTTAACCGCGGAAAGTAGTGTAGAACCAAAACACAAAAAAAGTTCGACACGGAAGGGAGAAACCTACTTTTATTGTGTTTATTTGCATAAAATTACTTTTAGGTCTTGTTTTCGTCGAGAGCCTCGTAATTAGAGCTTGTTCGCCGAGGTTTTTTTTAATTAAGAGAACCATAATCATTACGTGCAGCCCTTCGCATCGCAGGAGGGCAAAAATGAAGCAGTCGCAGTCGGCGGCGCATTAATTGCCTGATTTTTATTTATTCTCCTGCGGAGCGTGCAGAAAATCCCAAGAAAACATATTTCAAATCACGCCAGCGGAAAAATAACTTTATCATCACTATTAGCTATTAGAAACACATTCGTTGGCGGAAGCGCGTCGTAAATCATCGACGGCGGCGGCGGCTAAAAGGACGACGCACTTAATTCGCTGATGCATGTGTTTTCGCATTGTTTTCCCAAAGCGTTGTATCTAGTTTTACGTGCGCTGAAAGCCTCTGCTTCTGCCGCCGCCGGGCGAAATTTACTTTGCAGTTTTTGCGCCGGCGACCATAATGCGCACCGGCGGCGTTAAACTTTAGCGTTTTTCCACGAACTCGTTGCCGATAACAATGGCAAATATGCGCGCGACGCGATTAAATTGTGCGGAAACCGAATGCGCGCTCGAGCGTTATAAGCAAACACAATAACGGAATTGCGCATACAGAGAGTGCACGAATATAA